TATTTTAAAGTAATAATATAAATAATAAATATATAAAGGGTTATTTTTGTTCTTAAATAAAAATTAATTCAAAATAGGTAATCATGAGTTTTTATATACTTCTGCTATAACTTATTACTATTTACCTTGTAAAAAAAAATTTAAATGTAATAAAAATAAGAATAAAAATAATATAAAAAATCGTGAAGACGAGTTTAAAAAAACTGGTATATCAATTTGTAAATTATGCCAAGTTCAACATTGGCATTGTTCAATTAATACTTGTACAAATTGTTGTTTATTAAATAAATGTAATGATATCATCTGTAATTATTGTAAAGCAAATAATATTGAATATAAGTGAATTATTCCAAAAACTCAAGAAGCTTATGATAAAATTAAAAATAATGTATCTTATATTGGTTGGAAATATGAACCAACCAATACTAAAAAATTACATGTACAAATTTATATGCAGTTTCATCCAGATAAGCGACAAACTCTTAAAAGTGCTAAACAAATATTTAATGAAGATAATTCTTTAATATTTCAGCAAAAATTAAATGGTACTTCAACTCAAAATAGAGCATATATATTAAAATTATATGATCGTTGTAAAAAACATTTAGAATGTCAATGTGATTTTTTGATATTAATTACAGATGTGATAAATGTGATTCAACATATAAACGAAAAGTTGCAGCTTGGGTAGAGGCACTTTACCAAAAGAAGTTGTTGGTCTATTTGAATTTGGTGAATTTAGAGAAATTGAAAAAAAATATACTAAGAGGAAAAAACAAGATATAAATGAGTTAAAAGCTGATGAATTTCAAGGAGCAATAGATGGAAATAAAATGTTAGAAAATAGAAAAAACACCACTTGAAATATTTAGAGAAAATAAAAATAAGATTCCATATTGCAGAAGTTATGAAGCAATGACAAAAATTTATAATGATTTACAAATAGAAAAACAAAAAGAAAAAGAAGATTTTGGTATTTTTATATTTTGGTTAAAATTAAATTATTGTAATTTTTTTAAATTTTATTAATATTTTTCTACTTTAGGCGTCTTATTGTTTTTTATTTTTATGGTGTTGGCGGATCAGGGAAATCTGGTTTATTTGGAGAATTATTTAGAGATCCAAATATTTTATATTAAAATCTAAAAAACAAAAAAACAATTGGTGGAATGGTAAGTAATTAATTTAGATTTGATTTGTAAAGAATTAAATTTTAATATATTTTAAAATTTGATGATAGGTTATAAAGGTCAAGATTTTGTTCTCTTGGATGAATTCTATACAAAAATTGATTGGAATGATTTAGTTACTTTATGTAATGATACTAATGAAACTGTTGAACAAAAACATAAAGGTTTTATACCTTTTACTTCTAAATATATAATTATGACAGCGCGAAAACTCCCCAATGAAGCATATACAGTAATTTTGGAAATCATCAATCAGAAGATATTGTTTAACGTGATTTTGATCAATTTATTAGAAAAATTGATTTTATAATTGAATTCAAAGGAAAATGGGATGATGAAATTTCTGAACATACTACAAAAATTATTTTTCATTATGATTCTGAAGAAGATTTTAGAAATATGAATTGGAAGATTAAATTGAGAAATGGAGAATTAACAAATGAAGAATTAATTGAAAAAAGTAAAAAAATAAACAAAAATGGACAATATTTAATTATTAAAAATAAAGTTTATTATCAAGAAGAATTTCCTAAATATAAGAAGTGGTATTTGAGAGACTATCCAAATTGCAGAGAATTATATGAATATAAACAAGAATGTGAAATTGAAAATAGTTTAATTAATAATATTAGTAATTTAGTTAATGAATCTGATGATAGGTTATCAGATTATGAAAGATCAAACTCTGTGGCAGAATCATCAAATAAACGAAGAAAAATAAATTAAAAAATTACAAAATAAAACTAGCAAATTTTAAGCTAGTTTAGTTTTCTAAATACTCTTTTGCTTTTTGAGTTTTGTACAAATTTATAATGCTTATAATATCAAAAAACCTGATTTTGTTTATTAATTTTATAAATATTTAAAAGGTTAGAATAATTATTATCTAAGTTGTACAAGATTTTTTATAAAAAGTTTTTGAGAATTTTTTGATTAAATTCTTAAATTTCTTCGAATGTAAATTTCTTATCTATTTTGAATTAATTAAAAATTACTCTTATCTTTATTTATAAATAAGATAATAGAATAACTTTATTACTTTTAGTTATATTACTTTTTTAAGTTATTTAATAAATACAACCTAAAAAGTTACGTTGAAGCAATTAATTTTTTTTTAAAATTAACAAATTAATAAAACAAAACACAAATTATTTAAAATGTCTTTTTTCAAAAAATTTACTACCAAATTCAACAAAAACGTTAAATTAAATATTATTCAAGAATCAGAAAATTTTATTCAAGAAACTAAACAATATGAAGAAGTCAATTTTGGTTAGGAAGACCAAGAACAAGATATAAAATGTGACAATCAATCCACAAAGTCAACCATCGATTTCGAGCAAGATCTTCAAGAAGAATCTTCTAATACTTCGAAACGAACTGTCGAATTTGAGAATCGATCAAAAGATTCTGAAGAAACATTAGTTAACAAGACTAATGATTATTACTTTGAGTTAATGCTTTTAGTATTAACTCTATTTTTAATGTTCATTTCAATTCCTATCAGTTTTGTGATGAGAATTTTATTTCTATATCGATTTAATATTTTATTAATAAAAGTTAA